CCCACTGGCCTGTGATCTTCCTGCACTTGGCATCATTGCATATGTTGTGTGAGCTGAAGAGGAATTTACAGACTGGTACTGGACATATGGGTTAATATCAGACTTATGGACTTGATTTGGATTGGGCTGTACTCTTACTGTACTCTTTATATAAACTCTTTCCTACATACTTATGAGTATCTATGAATTTGTTTCTCTAGTCTAACCAGACTAACACAGTGCCTAAATATTTATAGTTAAGTCATAAGTCCTTGTTAAGCCAAGCACCTATAGATCAAGCTTCTCTACACCCATTCATTTATCAACAGAACAATGAAGTTTGCTGGTCTACTTAGTCCCACAGCAAAAGGTCAGAAGGCCATCATCAATCCTATGAGTAAGATTTCCAAGGGCTTAATAATTCTTTAAGGTGATATCAATTTCAAAGTACTGCACAGGGATGAGTGTGGTTTGCCAGAAATCCTGGTATCCATCAGAGCTGCCTTCAGGGGGCTTATGGTGATCTTTTGAGGTGTCACAATGAATTCCTGGATTTACGTGTAATGTTTACATTACCACCAAAATAGCGCAGACGTCAAGATTTGGGGGAGAGCCGCAGGAAAGGAAATGACACTTTCCTTGCTCTTTATCTTCAAGGACTCCAAAATGCACAGATCAAACATGTTTGTAAAAATGTTCCTTTTTTAAGAAACCTTTTGGATGACAAATTCAACATAATTTCCCTTATACACATAAATCATGCAATATATGCATTAAACTCTTCCAGCAAAATGGCCCTCGCTTTCTCTCTCCTCGGCTCCTTTCTAATGAAAGCTGTTACTCTTGTTAGATGCCATCGAGTCAGTTCCATCCACCGCGACTCTATGCACAACAGAAGGAAACCCTGCACGGTCCGGGTCATCCTCACCACTGTTCCTCTGCCTGAGCCCACTGTTGCAGCCATGGTGTCCACCCATCTCGCTGAGGGCTTGCCTCTTTTTCACTGCCCCTCTATTTTATGAAGCGGGATGTCCTTCTCCATGGACTGGTCTCTCCTGGCAATAGGTCCATGGTATGTCAGATGAACTCTCACCATCCTTGCCTCTAAGGAACACTCTGACCATACAAGTAGCATTTTAAATTTACCATTCTAGTACACAGGAGCCTGGTGATGTAGTGGTTATACATTGGGCTGTGATCCACAGTTCGAAGTCACCAGCTGCTCCAAGGGAGACAGGGCTTTCTACTCCTGTCAACAGTTAGAGTCTTGGAAACCCAAGGAGGGTTTCAACTCAGTGGCAGTCAGTTTGGTATTGGTTATTATATTATATGGTCGCTTACAATAAGCTCCTTTGTAAACAATAATTTTAGCCTCATAGAGTCCCCCCAAAAACAATTTTAGCAAACAACTAGGTGGGTCTTAGGTCCATTCCCGAAACATCCTGGGTCTATAATGCTATTTTCAGTTTGGAAAAAGTACAAGCACCGATAACCAGACACAGATACCTGTGGCTATTTCATCTCTGTCCCCCTTGGCAACGTTAAAAGCGGGTCAAACATGTTTATAGAAATACCTCTTGAAGTCCAGCTTGATGCCTTTATTGCTTTTCACAACTGCAGCCAGCCACTCCTGGAGAGTGTTATCGCTGCTCACCTCAGGAGGATGTGCCATGATTGGCTGGCCGTGTTCGGATCCATCTTCGGGAAGAATGACATCGGCCTCTATCATGTGAACAGCACCTGTGCATACAAGAGAGCGGGAGTGAATGCTAGTACAACAGCGGGCAGCGCGACAGGAGACGGCGTGCGTCTTTTTCTGGACGATGGAAGGAAGCAGAGAAAATGAACATTTACTGAGTAACACTCTGTGCCAGGTATGACACAGCAATCTAATCCGTTGTTCTTTGCACAGGTGACCACACGGGGCTGGAAAGGTAAATGATTTTTCCTTTAGGTTGACTTGGCTGTTAAAATTTCTTCTTGAGAATGATGGGGGGAGTGCGGAGTGGAGATCCAAAGCCCATTAGTAGGCCACTGGAGATCCCCTTGCAGAGGGGTCTCGGGGAGGAGATGAG